GGGGCGGCCTGCCTCGGGAAGGGGCGGCCTGCCTCGGGAAGGGGCGGCCTGCCTCGGGAAGGGGCGGCCTGCCTCGGGAAGGGGCGGCCTCCTAAACCCTAAACCCTAAACCCTAAACCCTAAACCCTAAAACCTAAACCCTAAACCCTAAACCCTAAACCCTAAACCCTAAACCCTAAACCCTAAACCCTAAACCCTAAACCCTAGACCCTAGACCCTAAAACCCTAAACCCTAAACCCTAAAACCCTAAACCCTAAAACCCTAGTAGTAGTAGTAGTAGTTGAGTTTATTAGAATGCTAGGTAGGTTGCATGGCTTGTTATCACCTTGCTCTATTCTAGTCTAACAGGGATCTCGTGACCTGGCAGTTCGGCCCGACTTGGCTGGCCCCTATGGCAGCCGTGCTTCTGCTCTGCTCCCTCCTCTGGTATATACTTCAGTGGTCTTCCCCGGCCTCAGCCAGTGGCGTTTCCTCCGCCGGCCTTGGCCTGGGTCGTCCGTGCTTTACTTGTGTTGCTTCCTCGGCCCCGACACACCTTGGCGGTCTCGGCCGGCCTTCGGCCAGTGAGTGGATGCTGGATGAGGTGGCAAGTGGGTTGTGGATGGGTCCCTGGGACTCACGTCCCTTCCCCCGGGCCTCGGTCCGGACCGGGCCCTAGGGCCCGGCCGGCCTCCGCCCGGCCTCCTCCACCCGCCCCCCTCTCCCCTCCCCCACCGGCTTACCTGCCCTTACCTTCGTTGCTTGCCCCATGTCCACCTCATTTATTTCTTCCTCCTTCCCCCCTTGGGGCCCACAGCTCCGCTCCGCCTCTTGTCCACCTCTAAGACTTGACTCGAGCTTCAAGCACGCGAGAGGCCTGCACCGGCCTCCTCCTCCACGCCCTCGCCCTCCTCAGCCTCCATGTCGACTTCCTCCCTCATCATCAGCCGCAGTCGGTCTTGCTTGTCGACCTTGCCCGTGCAGCTCAACCCATGGTGCTCAGCAAATTTACTGATCGCAAGAAACAAGAGGCTTACAGATCGACTCTCGATGTCATCGCTCTCAGCCTCCTGCTCGAGCGCATCAGTCGCTGCTGCCCTTGGAGAGAAGGCGCTGCCCCTTCTCGCTGCCTTGTTCCCTTGCACCCGTGTCCAGCGCTGCTCGCCGAGGTATGCTCTGAGCTTTTCTTTCAACATGTTTCGCTTCGATCCCAACGTCGGCGTGGCTGCCCAAGCTCCGAGCGTCATGAACTCCACGTTGCCCGGCGAGCAGAAGGTGTCATGCAGCTTGCCAACACTCTTGTCTAGCTCCAGCGAGATCGGCTTGCCAGCTAGCAGCTCCTCCTCTGATGTCTCCAAGAGCATCGTCGAGAGGTCGAGCAACACCTGTTGGTCGACTGGCCCTGACGGTGACGCTGCTTCCATGGTGATCCTGTCGATGTCGCTGAGCTCCAGCCATCCAGCGCCTTGCTGCTGCCCTTGGGGCTCTTGGGCTTGCTCCTCGCTGCTCGGGCTCCTCTCCTCCTCATGCTGAGGGTTGAGCTTAAAACCCACCGCTTCCAGCTTGACTTCCAGGATCCCTTCCAAGTAGAAGGGCATGTCGTCCATCAAGCGTCGAGCCTCTGCCTTGGTCGCCAGGGAGAGAGCTATCAGGCTCCCATCCCAGCTGAGCGTGTCACGATCCTCCTCGACCTCGACGCTGACCAGCTTGAGATTCATTCTTCTTGCTAACTCCAACATGGCTCGCTTGACTCTCGTGATCGATGTGTTACCTCCTCCGCACAGCGCTTCCATCTCCTTCCTCGAGAAGCGGCCTGTGCTCATGCTTGACCTCGACTTGATCTGTACTCTAAAGCTGCTGTGCCTAGCTTGGTCTCTGTCGCGAAGTACCTTCCTCTGCTTGGCGATCTTTCCCCTCGGCACGAAAGTGTCTGCTGTGAGCTCGACTGCAAACGTCTCTCTGAGCTTGGCGTCGTCGCTGATGAGGGTTAGATGTACCCCCTCCATCGCCTCGCTCTCTCTGAACGAGGCCAACGTCTGCTCGCAGCTGGTCAACGTCGGGCATGTTAGTACCCATTCCACTTCTCGCAGCTGCAGAGCTCCAGTGCTTGCTCCAACAGCAACATACGTCTTCGGGCTCGGCCCCTTGCGACCTCTCTGCCCAGGACTCTGCACGAGCATGCCAGCAAGCGGTTGTACCTCTGCGGCTGCAAGAGATTGCGAGACCAGCTGAAATCGATAAATCTGAGCGATCTCGGCCGTCGACATTCCTCCGAGAGCTAAGAGCTGTGATAGCTCGGCAAGGCTCCCTCCCTTGCCCCAAGGTCCTCGCTTGGCTCGAAGCTTGAACGACCGGTCATGTGCAATGCTCACCTCTGTGGCTCGGAACGGTCTGCCGTCTATGCAGTATTCTCTCCTGCCTTCCCATAGCTCCATGGCTGCTTCATTCCGAAGGAAGGAGACGGTGACTGAGATGTCGTCTGCTCGTGCTATCTCAGGTCTGTAAGGTGCTTTCCACATGATGGCCTTGTCGACTCCGTCGACTGAGTCTACCATGAGTCCCAGCTCCATAAGCTTCGTTTTCAACTTTTCTTCTTGTCGAACATACATCGAGGAAATCCCTAGGAGAGTCATGGAGATGAAGGAGGTCCCCTCGGTGCCTTCGGTGCCGATGTATGTCTCGACATTCTGCTTCTTGGCCTCCTCCATCTGTTGAATAAACCATGCTCTCGACTCTGAGCTCCATTCGCTCAGAGAGTCTTCAAACAGGTCGCGTCTCGCCTGCCGACATGTCGAGCGGATGGCTTCAGCGATAGCGTCGGGAGTGCATCCCCCCTCAGCTCTGCAAGCATGAGCTGTCCTACTACCAGGATAACGCTTCATGAAGCTCTTCACTCTCTCAACGAGGTCGGCGGCCTCTTCGACGTGGCCTCCAGAGCGCTCGCCCTGCGTGTATTGGCATGATCTCCGATACAGCAGGTTGCGAACGCTCTCATCATACTGTAGTACCATACTTAGAAAGCTGTTTGAACTGTACAAACCTCTTGCTCGCAGCTTCCTCCGGTGCCCTTGCGCTCTCCCTACGCGCCACAGAGCAGCATGCCTCTGTCAACGGGCCCTAAAACCCTAAACCCTAAACCCTAAACCCTAAACCCTAAACCCTAAACCCTAAACCCTAAACCCAAGACCTGTTGATCGACTGGCCCTGACGGTGACGCTCCTTCCATGGTGATTCTGTCGATGTCGCTGAGCTCCAGCCATCCAGCGCCTTGCTGCTGCCCTTGGGGGTCCTGAGCTTGCTCCTCGCTCTCCTCTTCCTCCTGAGAGCTGACAGTGGGTTTGAAACCTACAGCTTCCTAAACCCTAAATCCTAAACCCTGTCCTACTACCAGGATACCGCTTTGCGAAGCTCTTCACCCTCTCGACGAGGTCGGCGAGAACTGCCAAGTTTCAACTATACCAAGAACTTGCTTCCGGGCCTCTTGGGAAGCTGCTTCTGTTTTAGCGAAGCTTGGTCTCATCAGTGGTAGGCCTCCCGTTGACCACTAACACCCTCTAAAGAAATTTTAAAAATCTTCCCTGACTTTTGAAATATCTCAGATCAGATTTAGGGTCTTTGTTGGCCTTTTCATAGACACCTTCCATGCCAGGGATTTCGGAAAAAGAGGGATTATGAATTACGAGGCATGACGGGGATATAGGGGGGGGTCGGGCGCAAGCAGATGCGAGGAAGGGGGCTGCTGCTCTTGCCACTTGTTGGATCTGTCATCATACTTGTGCGCATTTTCCCGATCATAGTGTTTCAGGTATTCAAACTCTTGCGCGTTTCACAAGGACGGGTCCGGTTTTGACACCTTATGGCTGTAGGATGAACGGCTGACCTTAACTATTGCACAACTCTTGCCAGCATGTGGAAGCCAAGCGGTTGCAAAGGCATGCTACACAAGTGCGCTGACATGCCTAAAGCCCTCGAAGCCACAAGAATCACAAATGTGAGAGCTATGCATTCACATTTTCAGCTGGTATAACCCGATTGTTCTACCAGAAGTCCGAAGTATGATGCTTGCAAATGCTTTGTTGAGAGTGGCTGTTCAGTGGAATGTAACTATGCTATTCGTCGAACGATGAAGCTCTCTTTCGTGACAGGTGAAATGCTCGTTTTGACAGCATATCGTTACTCAGGGTGTTGAACAGGCTGTGCTTACTTTTCAAGACAACCACAATTGAAATCAGATCAACTTATCCAAGGACGTGGTAAATCAGAACACGAGACAGAAGACGCAATTTTTAAGGGACGTGTTTCCAATGAAGTTTTGGTAAGAAATCCAATCAACCAATCTGAACTGAGCAGAAATGTGTATCCTCCCAATGAGAAACTGAATGACTCGCGTTCAAACTCTGGAGAGATGCAATTGAAGATCATTCACAGATCATGGAAACAGAATGGCTCCTCCATTCCTGCATTCCATGCCTGCATTGTTGGAGCAGGATTGTCCGGTTCTGTCATAGCTGAACGATATGCAAGCTGGTTTCGAGACAGGAAAGTGCTCATGGTTGAAAAGAGGAATCATGTTGGTGGGAATTGCTATGACTATACTGATAAAGCAACTGGAATACGAGTTCATAAGTATGGTCCGCACCTCTTCCATACAAATCACAAAGCAGTATGGGATTATATCAACAAAGACGACTTACAGCGAAGAGGAGCAGGTGGATGGATACGGTGGGATCATGAAGTCCTAGCTTCCGTTGAGAACTCACATCAAGGATCGACCTTCGTTCCAGTGCCCATCAACGGAATTAGTCTCAACATTCTGTTCAATTTGAATCTGACAACCGATGAAGAAGTGAAGACGTGGTTAGATTTGCACCGGCCAAGAAAAGAGGATCGTTGTACTCTTTCGAATGAAAAGAGGGAAACCGAGCAGAAAGAATGTCAAAATGCAGAAGATCAGTGTATCTCTCGTGTTGGACAAGATCTCTACAACATTGTTTTCAAAACATACACCGAGAAGCAATGGGGACGGAAGGCTACGGAACTGGGCCCGGAAGTCACAGCTAGGATTCCTGTCCATGGAAATTTTGATTCAAGATATTTCCAAGATCCGTATCAAGCACTTCCACAAAAAGGGTATACGAGATTTGTCGAAGCATTGCTAAATCATTCTTCTATCACTACCATTTTGGGTCTAAACTTTTTCGAAGTGAGGGACATCCTGGAAGATGGAAAGTTTTGTTCTGAGCTGTTTTTTACTGGACCAATTGATGCATTTTTCGACGAGAAACTAGGTAAGCTTGAATACAGATCATTGATGTTTTCTCCAAGAGTCTTCTTCGACGTTGGAGAATCATCGCATGTCCAACCTTCGAGTGTTGTAAATTATCCTTCTCCCGATGTGCCTTGGACTCGAAGTGTAGAATACAAGCAATTTTTGAGACAGAAAAGCAATCACACAATCGTCGTTTATGAACATGGTACAAAGTACGTTGCTGGTCAGAATGAACCTTATTATCCAGTCCCGAATGATCAAAACAGAAGGTTGTTCAAGATGTATCAAGAGTTATCAAAAAGATTGGAATCTTTAAATCAATCAGATGGGAATCGAAAACCTAAAGTGCACTTTGTTGGCAGGCTTGCAAACTATAAGTATTTCAATATGGATGAAGCCATTTTGAATGCTTTGAACCTCTTCGACCATCTTTATGTGAACAGTAAGACGAGGAACCATTTGAGCAATTCTCCTGAGTCAGGACAGCAAAAGTTACAGAACGAGATCAAAACCGTCGGGGGGACGAACGGCTTGCATTGGAAGCACCCCTTCCAGTCCATGGTTCTGGGTCAGGCAAGGGTCAAAGCTAAGTTGATCCGAACACTTTCCCCTCCAGAAAGTGGAATTTCTCTTGTGGTTGAGAATGGAATAATCGTTGATGTCAAGGATGGAGAAGGTTTCATTCATTACATGAGAAAGGCTCAATATCTTTACTTCTTTAAGGTGTTGCTACAACATTATTCTCACGTGCTTCCTAAGCAGTTCTACATTAATATCAATCTGTCTGATCATCCCAAGGAAGGATATCTGAACTTTTGCAGATTAAAGGGCTATTCTGCACAATTCTTGATTCCAAATTCTAGATTTGTTCTAGATGAGGTCATGTCTGGATTTAATGAGTACGAAAATTACGGTCATTCATCCAAGTCTGTGCAAGCTGAGCAAATCAAGAAAAGGATCAATGTTTACACTTACAGTCAAGCAGTCCAGAAGCTGAGAGCAATGGATGTTGTCCCATTTGAGAACAAGATTCCCAAGATTTACACTTCAACTATCCCACATCCTGCGAAGGTCGATTATTTTCATTATGCGGTTGACAACACAGATGTCTGTTCTGGATACGTTTTCACAGGACCGCCATTCGGGCTCGTCAGTCTACGCCAAGACGTATATTTCCGCCTGAAGGAAAAAGGGATGGCAGGCGATACTGTGAAACACAATTTTACGGAGCATCTCAGATACAAGTATCTGCTTTACAATGATGGGAACTCCTTGTCCGACAGAACTCGGATCTTGCTTCCCATCCATGCTGTGATGATTCGCCGGTAATTCATTGCCTTTTTGTTCCTGTGCAAACTCACAAATCGTGGCATGCAGGCGTGGTTCGGCATACGAAGAATTTTACACCTACAAACTAAAAGAAAATACTCACTTCGTCAGCTATCAAGATACGACAGAATTGAAGCAAATTGTGATTCGTTTAGAATCGTTTCCCCATCTGAGCAAGAAAATCATCCAAGAGAACAACGCCTTTGTTGATGAACAGCTGACTTTTGAAAATGTTTTAGAGTATACTGCACATCTTCTACATGAGCTACTTGTAACCTAATAAATGAATCTGGCCACCTACGAAGGAAGGCTTAGTACAAGCAAACAATCTGCAAAGGGTGATCGTTTTCATTATGACAGAACCACTGTTGATTTGATACTTGTTGAAATCTAATATTCGAAGTGACGTGAATGTTAACGTCACGTGGGATGTACTAGTCGTTTATGTAGGATCCATCACACGCATTCTAGCTGCGCTCAACGACGTCCGATATTTTACTTCGACTGCTGGACACTTCGACGTGCACCATTTGAAACACAATAGAAGCAAACAGCACTGATCCATTGATCTTTCTTTTGTCGATCTTTCTTTTGTCGATATTATCACTGAACAAAAATAAAGCCTGCTTTGTTGTCATAGTTCGTATTTTGCAAAAATGTGTGTCAATTGTACTCATTTGCTTATGATGCAATTGTGCATGAATGCTCTGATCATTGTATATCATGTGTTTATGTTGTGATCACATTTGTATTGTAATCATTTATATAGTTCGATTGTTTGTGTACGTTATCATCTTGCATGAACATTGCAATCATGTACATGATGGGAATATTTTGTGTTCAGTAATTATGCCTATACTGTGTCACGTGTACGTCGGGTACACATGTATATGGCGTGATAATATGAACATTCTGTAATCAACGGGTACTTTGTTATCATTTGTGTGTGGCATTAAGATATGCATAGTGTCATCATATGCACCTGCTTCTTCACGCTCCAACCTTTCCTCCAAACCTCTCCATCGCACAGCTACATCATGAGAGAGTTTGTGGGTTTCTCACACCCCACCCTCAAGATTTCACAACAAAAATACCCCTACCCCTACATACCTCACCCATGACCCACCCTGACTGAGGTCCGAGCATGTTACTAAACCACCCCCTGCACCCCCTGCACCCCCTGTACCCACGAACCATTCCTCACTGGTGCATGAAGTCATGGTAGACCGGAAAGTGGAGAGACAGGCTTGCAGACAGACACGGGAGGTAGAGGATGCTTCTGAATCATAGCAAGAGGGTGTTTGCTTGACTGATATCGATAGAACATGCTTCCAAACTCGCCATGCGTGGAGATTCACGAAGTCGAAAGCAATGGAAAGATTCATGGTGACCGAAGAAGGTTTTTCGTTAATTGTTATCTTTACTTCACCGAACCTCTCTTGCTTTTCAGATATGTTTGGCCAGATGGATTGATCTGGGAAGGGGATGTTTGCGAGGAAAAATTATGTGGAAGGGGCATGTTGCGCTATCCAGATGGCTTGATGTATGGTATTGAAGTACTGAAGCTGTTTCTGAGCTTCGATCAGTACTGAAGGAGAGTTTATCGATGGCGAGATTTTCGGTCAGGGAACTTTGAAATGGCCGGATGGGTCATCGTATTCTGGTAATGAAACTCATCTATCAAAGCAAAGTTCGACATAATTTGAACTTGATCAAGGGGGACTGGTCGCAAACAGGAGGCATGGCTATGGAGTCTATAAATGGAAGGACGGAACAATCTACAAAGGAGAATATGTGAATGATCTTCGTGAAGGTAATGCTGGTGAAGTTTTGGCCTATCTAGTAACTTTTTCACAGGGGAAGGATTCTATCGAAGCTGCGGATTCCAGTACTTGGGTAGTTGGCGTGAGGACAAGATGCATGGCGAGGTAATTTTCCACGACGGAGCAACAAGAAAGCAAAGTGACCTGTCTGGATGCTAGGGGACATACGAATGCCAGAGTGAAGATCGTGTGCTTTTCCGGATTTTCAAAGGAAAATTTGAGAAGAACTTTCCAACCTCCGGTACATTGACAACGAAATGCGGTACGACCTTCGAAGTCATATACGATGGAAAGACACACGTCACAGGATGTCCATGGTGAGTGAGAATGGCTACCTGCACAAGCAAGAAAGCTAGCGTTTTCTTTTGAGAATTTGATTTTAATTTATTGTGAAGTTGTCCCTGACGCAGGTTATGGAAATCCACAAGGTACAAACGAATCTGAGAAGAGAGTCTTGTCAGTATTCACATTCTTGAATATCTTGACAAACCATTCCAGTGAAGAAGACACCAACATTACAAAAGAATTATCAGAAACAAGCGAGGAATATAAGATGGTGTCTGATTTGTTTTACCTTTCTCTCCAGAAAATGTTGTAAGTTTCCTTTTATTTTAATTGCGATGCTTACCTTCAGCCTAGCCCACACATACAAAAGATTGAGCGAGTGCAAAACACTGGCTTGCGAAATCTTTTCTTGGTTCAGGTTTTCGTTTTTTACTTTCAAGCATGTTTTTGCCGTTTGACAAGATTTGGCGCAGAGAGATCGCATCAAGTGTGAGATCGAGAAGAGAGGGCTGGAGTGGGTTCCAGGAGCAATGGAGCGATGGGCTTTTCATGGCACTACATCTCAGTGCATGTGAGTAATTCCTCACAAGTTGACGGAAACCTCAAAATATGCAGGGACGAAGATCCAAGCACAGCCATCATGAATGAAGGATTTCTGGTCACACTAGCAGGTGCTACTCTTAACTGTGATAAGAGTACATTGATCTATTTGCCATCCGGTATGCACAGGATCAAAAAATGGAGCATCCTACGGGGCTGGAGCGTACTTTGCAAGAGATTCGAAGTAATCTTTCGACGTTTTGCATCATTGCAACTCAAATTATCCATTTCTCACAGATATTCTCTCAACTATTCACGACCAAACTTATCCGGTGACTGTTGTATGTTTCTCGCACGGGTACACAAAATTCAAGCATGCGCATGAACAAACATTGTTTTAATGGCGATGTGTTCACAGATCATCACCGGCCGCTACACGAAGGGAGATTCCTTCATGCGGGCACCTCCGATCGACCCTAGCGGTATAAGCTTCATCCTCCCTCCTCAAATCTTAGGGATCCGCTGATGTCGCTTGATGAGTTAGGAGGACCAGGCCAACACTTTCATAGTCTCGTGAATAGCTTGCACGACCCGTCAATCTTTGTGATTCCGGTCTGAACGCCACAATATCTACACTCCATTGGGATCTCTGACCAACATTGCCAGCATGGTGCCAGCGCTTATCCTGCCTACAAGATCACATTCTCCTTCTCGCCGTCGAAGAGAAAGGCTGACGAAGAGAAAGGCTGCACACAATGTTCGGTATGAAGCGTTGATTGGAGCCAGTTTTCACTGATTGAATCCTCGCGACAGACCAACAAGACCGCACGGATATTGAATTTCTGATGAGTTACCACATCTCATGAGTAGTGCTAGAAACAACACAGAATAGCGCTTTATGCCGGAAAATGTGACCTAATTGTACACAAAATTGAGCATTGATTAGTTTGAAAATATCAAGGTTGAAGTGGACGAGTCTGACTGAATCAATTGATGGATGAAATAAAGACTTGTTTTCTAATAAAAAATTCAAAGACATGCCTTGCTCAGCATTCGTTACACATCTTTCATCGTGTTTTGGCAAAGAGACCATCGAAAAACGTTTTACGATTTTGTCAAGGGGACAGAGCATTGTGTTCGCAGCATGAGAGTTTGTCGAGGAATCCTCGAGTCCAGCAAGATATTGATGCTTTACGAAGGGTCAAGATGCCGAAAACAAATGCATTGCAGGATGATTCGGATTGATCTCCTCGTAAACCAGGGCGACAGTTGCCATGGCGTCCTTGGTGAGCCTCCAGAGGTAGATCAGTCCCGGCCCGCCCCACCATTAAGAACCAAGAAACAAAAAGGCAGCAATTAACATCATGATTCATCCTCGCATTGACAAGGCAAGTACCTAAAATGAGATTATAATCTATATTAAATCATTGTAATTCATTTTGGAATTGTTCGAAATGCAGATAACAAGGTTTTAAATACCAATGTTAAGAGTACATGCATAGGTTTGAGTAATATATTATTAGAATATATTATTATATGATGTACCGCGTAATATTATATGAGGTCAAAATAAAACCATGAAATTATACCAGCTGACACTTATAAAATCCCGCGGAGGCTGGAACGACAGCTGAACATGGCAGCAGAATGACGGTTAGGGCGATCGATGTCGAGATGATAGTCAAGGAAAAATTGAATGGTAGGAGTGCGCCAAGGTGAATTTCAGAACGTTGGAGGCATGAGAGATGGTCGAGGGATTGATACGACTGAAAAGATCATCTTGATTGATATCTGGGGAAAGATACACATTTGTCCTCTAGAAGTTGAAAGAAGAAGATGAGAGAATGAAAGGCAGGCACAGCTAGTTTTTCCCATTTAAATTGATTGGTCTATGATGCTTAACCAAAGCAAGTCTTAGAAGTTGTATGGACAGTACAGCAACTGCGTCAAGTGGTTGGGTTTCTGGAAAGGAGCCCAACATGGTGGCAATCAAGATCTCGTTTCGTAGATCAATGGTCTGCCTTGATTTTGGCCCCAGTCTGTTTTTTCTTTTTTCTTTTCACTTGTGCTTATCAACTTGAAAAAGAATTCGTCTCGCGATGTAAAGAATAGTCAGTTGGTCTGATTTGGTTTGTTTGTGCCGTTGGTAATGATTTTATATTTTTTGGGCAGTCTTATTGGAGCGAATTCTCATACCTGGGAAACGTTGGAGATGATATAGATCTACATGATCACCACGGCTGTGTGTTCCAAACTTGCAAACGATGCATGCGCATGAGTTCAAGCTGGGAAGTCCAACTCACTCTGGATTTTTCTTGCATGAGGGGTTGACCTCTGAAAGTATTCATCCTCTTTTCAACATAGCGAGTCCCGAAAGAAATCCTGAAAGCTACGGAGGGCATAGGCGATCTTCTGCTCAAGATTCGCCCATGGCAGGCACCTCGCGAGCCCATCATCCGTCAACCAATGGCCACAGACCAAACGGCAACCGTGCAAACCATTCCAACCCAGATCAACACAATGTGAAATCAGCGAAGCAGAGCAAGCAGCAGAGTTACTATGAATTCCTTGGTCTGGAACAGACATGCACAGGTGAGCCTTCGTTGTGTTTTCGAGTCGTTCACGCGAGATGGTAGATGCGGAAATTAAGAAAGCATATAAGAAGCTTGCCGTCAAGCTACATCCAGACAAAAACCTTGACGATCCTTCTGCACAAGACAAATTCGCATATCTGAATGAAGCTTATTCGGTCTCATCGCCCATTGCTTGCGATGTGCATGACTGGAAACAGGTGCTGACAGACCCGATCAAACGAATTGACTATGACAAGGAGTTGGCTGGCGGCAATGTTGGGTATGGAGCTTTCGGCAGGTATCTCAGACTCACTCTGAATTGTTTACTAGGTGGGGTTGGAATCAGGAGGCTGCTAAGGAAAGGGCGCGTAACTATCATTGGAATGGAGACGACATGTTGTTTAATTTGGGTGATAGCATAACGAGTGCGATGACAAAAAGTCTAAAGCTTGCTTTCATCAGGGGCCCAACTGCATCGTGCACGAAGAGGTCCCTCAAGTAAGTTTAGCAACAAGACCGTGCTTGCAAGGAATCTGATTATGTCACAGCTGCGCAACGGATAAAAGAAGCTTTGTCTTGCTGGAGATGCTCTTGCCTGTCCTCTTCCATCTAATCAAAGTGGCCTCTTCTTTGCAACCTTTGGGTCTCAACTTCTTGTCTACATGGAAAAACGTTTTGTATAAGTTTGCGGACAGTTGAAAAGAACACGCGTAGTAACGGCCTAAACTCATAAATTCAGAGCTTGGTGAACTAATTTCTGTTTGATGGTTGCGTTTTCTACTTGTATCCTTTTGGACCTCATCAGCTCCTCGCCTCCATGAACTCCGTCCTCCCATCCTTGTCTCGCCTCCCCGCCAACAGCATTTCCTCCTTCGCGTTTCCATTCCCCCCCACTCCCCCCTCAGAGTATCTATTAACAAAGAAGGAGAGACAGCAACGCTATGCCCCTTTATATGTCGACGGCAATGCGAGGGGGGCAATGCCGGTGGTGTCAAAACATATGCCAGCACCAGCCGAGAGATGAAAGATGAAGTAGAGACCAAGTGATCAACGTTAGGATACTTGAGAGACGGAGAGATGATCTTGTTTCTCACATTCATAAAGTACGATTCCTTTTGTATGATCTACAACTGAGATGGAGAGCATTATTTCCTCTTGACATTTCCTCCGCGAGTTAAAAACAAAAGGAAACTGATGAGTTTTGAAAAAAAAAAGATGTTACTTTAAATCATTGGGAACACTGATGAGTTTGCAAGGCGAGAAAAGAATTCTTCTTGGGATGAAGTTCCAAGAATTGTTCCAATGCGCCTGGACAGCATCAAGATTTTGGATTATTTTTATTGTTGTTGTCTCCGTCCCCACGGCTTCAAGCGAAGGCAGCACTCCAGCGGGAGGTCTCTTCAATGGAGCATGGGGTATTGGCGGCAAGACACGTGAGATTCCGCCAGCGTCTGTGACGCCAGAGATTGAGCACGGTACATGTGGATAACCTTGCTTGCCATGCTTTCATGAGATGCTGTCATGCACAGATGTTCATGGCAAAGATGAAGATCATCGCTGGTACGACACCGTACGAGACGTGTTCAGCCGCATAGAGACGCCAGGTGAGGAGGCGGAGCGCGTGAATGCGGCTGAATGCTCATTAAAGGCATCACGTGGAACCTGAAGCCCAAGCGAACCATCCTCAAGATCCGAAAGCGGTTCTGCTGTACTGGCGCTGCTGACATGGCTTAACCGTCAGCAACAGCCTCTATCCACTCGGCATCACTCGGCTGACGCTTGGGGCTGATTTCGACCCGATGCTGGGGTCATGGAGGTGAGTCGCGGGAGGGAGCAGCTGATGGCTGACTGAAGGCGAAGCGTGAAGACAAGCTGGAGGGACCTGGTGATCGGGGGCAACATCAACATCCAAGGATCGGAGATTGCCATCACCAAAGATTTTAACGTGAGCAACTGCGAGTGAGTGAGCAGCCTAAGACCTCAGCAGGTCGACGAGCGAACCTCCTTGTGGCTCAAGGCTGGGTTCGATTGGCAGACCAAGAAAAGCATGATCGGCTTCAAGATCAGGCCCAACCCTGGCTTGTCCGCAAGGATGTACAGCGAGAGCGGGCCCATGCTCCAGATGCGGAAGCGAGTGCCTCTGCACGAGAACTTCCATGTCGAGTTCGACTCGGTGAGTGTCAGCTACTTCTCCTCGCTTGTGACGCGGCATACTTCAGAGTCTGCAGCTCCCCGACGCTGCTTACACGTCTACCAGCGGTGGGAAGCTCAGCCTCGGCCTGGGAGACTTCAAGGTGGACATGCGGGAGCTGAATGCTGTAATCGAACTATGAGGTTATGAAGGGGATGAACACTTGAAACTCTCCTACATGCCAACACTGAGTGAAGGACCGTTGAGAGAGGGTCAGAGGGCAAATGCAAACTAAACGATAGGGCTAGCGGACAACCATTGCTGCATGCTCCTGAAACATGCAAATCATCCAGAACTAACAGGATACCGACACGTCGCATGTGCAGCAGTGCCGTGCTGCTGCTCCTGCTAAAACGAAATATATGGCAAGACTAGCCGATAACATATACGGCATCCCTGTAGATTAGCACATAACTGACAATATTGTACGCCTCTTCCATGCTTGTTTGTAGATCCACAGGCGAAGGCATTGCTCTTTCTGCGAAAACGCTTTGTCTGCGAAAATTCACCCTCCTCTCACTATCTTGATCTCCCTCCTTTGTTCTTTCATTACGCATCCACACCTTGAACCCTCTCTTATCAACTCCCTCCCTCCCTCCCTCCCTCCCTCCCTCCCTCCCTCCCCTTCCCTCCCTCCCTTCCTCCCTCCCCCTCGCTCTCCCTCCTCCCACACTGAAATCCCAGCAAGGGCGTAACGGCATGACACCGATGCTTCGATTACGGGTACATTTGAAGTCTTTGACAGGGGTAGTGCTGGTACAGGGTTATGCCTTCCGACTTGCGAGAAGGCAGGATGAGAAGGGGAGGAGGGAAGAGAGGAGGAGGAAGGGGAGGAGGAGGAGGTGCAGGAGGAGGAGAGGAAGGAGGATGAAGGAATGGCATCAGGAGTGGGAGGATTGAATGTATCATCAATGCTTGAAATCTGAAAATGATTTGAAAAGGGAGAAAATGACGGAGTTGGATTTTATTAGGACGGGTCTGTACAAGCATTGCTAACTCTTGAGATTTTTCATATATAACATTCCATTTTTTCATTGTCACCAAATCACATTCTCCCATTCCACAACACCTGATTTTCACTTGCAGACGAGGATCGAACGGGAATCCAGCCAGCATTGTCAGCTCCGAGGATAGGCTTGTGTGAGGGACGCGTCCGAGTGTAGCGAGGAATCAAAGGAAGACCCATGCGGTGTCGGAGGTCGTCTGGCATTCTTGGCTGGTCCGATAGGTGACAAGAGGGAGAGCCTGGTCTCTTCGGCCATGTCTTTCATCCCAGAGCCTCCTCGCCTCGGGCCCAACATCGCAAACATCACAGCGCATGGGGTGATTCCTGTTCTCATCCCCCCCCGCCCTGTCGCCCATGCGCTGCCAGAGGTGATGGTGATGACGACGAGCTCTGTAACCTCCACGCAGAGCGGAGGGACACAGGCAGCAAGGACAAGGAAGGAGCTGCCTGAGTCGATCAGCTTTGAAGGATGCGGAGCAGCAGTGAGTTTTCACCTGGGAGTTTACGAGGCCGTTTGTCGCCTCTACGGCAGGGACACGCTGCAGCATCGAAGAATCAGGTACGTTGGAACCTCTTCGGGCGCCATCGCTGCTCTAGTCGCCGCACTGGGGCTGGAGGCGGAGCCGTGGATGCGACGGATGGCTCACCTGTGGGAGCCCATGGGCCAGTGCTGCTTCGGTCTGCTGCAAGTGGACAAGTACGTGGAGCTCGCTCTCGATGAGATCCTGGAGAGCTTCGGCAAGAATGCCTACATGCACCTCAGAGACAGGCTCTTCGTCTCTGTCACAAAATTCTTCAGCAGAAACACGATGATTAGCATGTGGGAATCCAACAATCACGTGAAAGATGTCATCTTAGCGTCTTGTTTCATCCCGGTCGCAATGCTCCGACCAGTTCGAATCGGTTCTTTCTTTGTGATTGATGGCGGATTTTCTCTCAACTGCCCGAGATTAAATCCCAAGACGTGTTTGGTTTCTCCCACCAGGTTTTTTCATTCTTAAGCTCCTTGTCTGCCCTCCTCTGATTGAAAATCGTCTGATCAGGACGCCGGGCTCCGATGTCAAGCCCAAAGTGAAGGCGAGATTTCGGTTCGCTCAACGGGAGGGGTCTACTTGACATGACGCCTGAGGCTCAGGGACGTTATTGGAGCCCCGTCGCAGACACGATTCGTCGAGCTCTGGCACAGTGGGGTAAGAGATCATGTGATGAGGGACAAGGGCTGACGGCAAGCGAAAGATCGAGAGTGCTGTAGATTACTTCAGCCCCGGCTCGCAAGCTGCTGTCGTTCACGGACCTGCTCTGCAACAGACAGCGTGTGGCAAGTTTTACTACTGGGCGATGAAGCAGAAGTCGATGACCTGGTTGGTGTCTGTTTTCAGCCTGACGACCATGGCAGGGCGTGCTTGATGTTGCGGATCTCGCTCTTCTGGTTCGTGTTGCTCATGCAGGTCTTGTGCCTTCCCTGCTGCTGCGTGAGGTAGCTGCTCGGGTCTTGTCTTCCTCTCCTGACGGCCTCTCAGCTGGTTCTCCTTGCAGTCCTCCGATGAGAGGGAACGGGAAGCCAACCCTCTCTTTGCTCCCGAGCGAGTCCCTGACTTGCACGGCGACGGGATTCAGCCAGTGTGACCCCTGCGCTGTACTGCCCTCCGTTGTGCGTGTGTGCGACGATGCGATGTATGATAAAGATTTCAAGCTAAGTTTACAAAGCCTGGTCCCCTCCTCCGCTATCTCTCCTTCCCGCTGCGCTGGATCATCCCTGCCAGCTCTCCTCCCAGTTTCGACTAAAGTTGGAGTGAGAGGAGCGAGGAGTCGCATCAGCCACCTGTAGAGCGTCGCGCATGCAGTACGGTCGCCCCGCGCGCATCTCAGTCATGATGCCCTGACGCACCACCTGCCGTCGCTGTTGACAGGCTCAGAGGAGGCGAGGAGGCAAGGCAGCTGGTCAACCTGCAGCGACTCCCTTTTGATCTCCTTCCCGCAGAAGACTGCGACGAGCTTGAGCAGCAGCACCTCCAGCAGACTCTCACCTAACTCCCAGCTGCTCGTGGCTGCGCCCTTGGACGAGAGGAGATCAAAGACTCCTCGGACAGCCAAAGGCACCAGGCGGTCGAGCACCTGCCGCTCAGCTGAGGACGAGGAGGCAGCGCCGCATGGGAGGACCTCAGTGCCCATGGAGAGGTCGGGGCTGATGTTGCACTCCAGCAGCCAGACGTTGAAGCTGGCAGGCACAGTCAAGCTGAACCTCAACAAGGAACGGACGGACTTGTCATCAACAACATAGTCAAGACCAAACCATTCGAAACATCCTTCCTTGTTCTCAATCAGATCCTGCTTACACCATCAGCTGCAGCGATCCAGACGCATGTTGAAAATTCCTGGACGCAATGCAGGCACATGAGCGAGATTCTCCTTATTTGATCTTCAACTTTTTTCCAGAGGCTTGTAAAGACTGACATCACAACAAACCAGCTTTCAAGCAAACAATGTCGTCACCTCTCTCCGCCTTCAAAGTTTTCTTCCAGGTATTTCTTTAAAGTTTCCACACTCCACATGCTCCCGTCTTCTTCGCTGTCTTGCTCCTCGTACTTGCCACTCTTGACCTGCACACATCTGCTTCGAATCACACGCTCGCCCTCTGACCTCCCCCGCTCGCACCGGTTGCACAGATGCTTGAAGTGATTCTTGAGACTGTCGGCGTCCAGGCTGTGACTTTCTGTGCAGATTCTCATGTACGGCTCATGGATCCAGGCAGTCAACGGGTTCCAGTTGGAGACCTGCGCTGCTTCCTCACTCTGTGGAGGAGGAGAAACGAATCTCGCACCAGCGTCCACGAGCGAATGTCGAATTTCTTGTCATGGAGCAGGAGGCAGTTCTCGATGTACTTCTGCGCAATGGCGCCTTTCTTTCGGCCTTGAGGGCGTCAGGAAGCGGAGGAGAGAAAGTCTGCGCTACCAGCAGCATAACACAGCAGCTCCCTCATGCCGTCAAAGCACTTGATCCCGTTCCCTCGGGTGCCGCAGCCCGGCTTCACCAGCCACACGTTCCTCACCCCATCCATGCCAAACTTGACACGCTCGTCAAACACGCTGAGGCAGAAGAGTCACAGATAACCTGCACGTGCTCCAGCTTGAGGCGACTGAAGACGTCGGCGACTCTCTTGCTTACTTCCTCAGACGTCAACGACCGCCATTCGTGCGGGGGCTCTGAAGACGAAGGTCAGGGGAGGAGGAAGAGGAGGAAGAGGAGGAAGAGGAGGAAGAGGAGGAGGAAGAATGAGTGAGAGACCGAGATCTTTGGTCCTGGTAACCATGAAGGATTTCCACGACAAGTCCAATCGAATCCAGAGATAATGATGAATGCCCAACACTCCTGCTACATCTCCATCTTTATCTCCTTGCAGCAGCTTCTTTTTGTTGTCCAGAAACCTCCCAAGACTATCAACGGCAGCAAACATAACAGCAACTGATCTTATTACCTCATACAGATGTGAGTCGCGCTTTCAAGGATGTCATACTTTCGCTCCTGACTTGTCTTTGCTGCAGGATCTGTGAGCTCCATCCCCAGCATCTCTCGTTTGATCTCGACGGCTGCAGCTGTGAATATGAAATCTTCGATGAAGTCTGCTTGCTGCGTTCAGGACCGCTCGGCTCTGCTCGGCTCACAAACACCTTGCAGCTCCCAAGGGTTGTAGAGGTTGTACATGCGAGGAAAGAAGCTGTCAACTTCCATCCCGTCGAACCATCTCAACGACTTCAAGTTTCTGTTCAGACCCACCTGACTCTGTCTCACCCAACCACCCAACCTCCTCCTCCCTCTACCTTGGCGCCAAGCTCGCTGGCGGTACCGGGGAAATGATTTACAAACTGAGAGGAGGCGAGCTTGCCAAAGTCAATGTCTGCATGGCCGAGGGTCCACTTGAGGTCGAAGGCGTTGGAGTCCTCTTGCTGTTGCATAACTTTGATCCCCCTGTAGTGACGCACAAGAAGGAAAGTGAGCAACATGCAAGAGCTTGATGAGAAAAAGAAAGACATACCGACTCCTTGCCTCGTCTTTCACTGACTTGTTGCCCCCAACAAGGAAAAGAGTCGCCGCTGGCTTCTTGGACAAGTCTCCTCTGTTGTCATCGAGCTTCACTCAGCCGACAATCATGATCGCAGACAGGAACCTGAAGTGTGTCTTGTGTGACTTCTTCATGCGGATCAGCTGCCATGCTGGTGAGTCAGGCGGCGAGGAGGAGCAGCTGTCGCACATGCTGAGCTCCCGCTAGCTCGAAGTCTCCTCCCAGTATGTTGGTAGGAGGCAGAGGGTCCTCCTTGAGCCTGCTGACGTCAGCGAGGTCTAGGATAGAGTCCCCTCTACCTCTGCATCGCACTCTTGGAGGGTTTGAGCGCTTCGGGGGGCAGTTTTAGAATATCGGGATAGAAACAAGCGAGGGTCACCAGAGGCAGATTCTCTCTCGACGCTCGAGCTGCGCTTGAGAGGAGGAAAGACTGTTCTCTTGTCTTGATGCTGCTGCGATGGAAGAGGAACCGCAGCCTTGTTGAACAGACGTCAAAAATCGGGCGATACACAGCCAAACGTCAAACTCACGATCTGTTGGCTTTGAGGGTTTGACCTTTGAGCAACATCAGCATCTTCCTCTGTCTTCTGCACTAATCTTGAGCTAGCGATCTCATGGCTGGAGCGACGTCACACAACCACCGCCATGCTGATCGAGTCACCTCATCATACTCAGCATGACGCCCATCACATCTCTGAAAGAAACTTGAGACGCGTGGTGGCACTCACTTGCTACCTCTCGTCTGCTGTCTTGGGGTTGCCTCTGATAGACATGGCTGGGGTTGCCGGAGATGGCTTCCTAACAAGAGCGTCTCTATCGCGGTAGCCCGAGGTGAGGGACTTGGAACGAGTGACTTGGCGGTGACATGGTTTGCATGCAATTGAAAGGCCATTGACCTCCAGGCCATCAAATTTAAGACCATCCATCCTCATGCTGGGAGGTGCAGCAGATTGAGCAGGAGGAGGCCTCCACATTAGAGGCGTGAGGAGAGCGGCCTAGCGGGTCACCGCCATGGCTTGACAGTATCAACAAACGTGAGGTCAACGAGAGGACTACGAGCAAACAAGCTTACCAGACATCACCAGGATGTTATCGAAAGAGAGAACAGCTTCATCGTTCTACATCCTGTTGGTCCCTCCGCTCCTCTTGACTGACAGCCATCTCATCTTGACTTCGCTCCCGCTGTCATGAACCGAGAATCCATATTCCATTCCTATCAGGGTTCCGTTGCCCTGCCCCTCATACCGTCACCTACAAAAAATATCCTGCGATAATCCTGTAAACGTAATGAAAAATAGATTTGTGTTCGGGGCCGGATTGCAATGTCACGTCCTTGATGACAGGTAGCTGTACAATAAACTGACGCATAAAAAGCACAAAGAATTCAATTTATTTTTGCTTTTTGAAGTCTTTTATATAGAACGGGAATATAACTCGACCTCGGAATGTGGACTCCTCCGCGCACCACCCCACCTGTTCCATTTTATGACCCTACTAATTGATGGTATATACCCCACCCCCTCCTGTGTACCGGAAATCTTTCAACAAAAACCCTTTGCGTTGGAGCATTTTTTTTAGTTGGGGTCGTGAGAATTGCAAAGTGGGGCGGTCTGAAGGGAGGGGGTCCACGAAAAAGGGTGGGTGATGGCCTATGAAAAGGGGGGTAGGGGTTGTAACATAGTCGGGCAAGTTCTTGCTCCCACATTAGGGGGCTTATGGGCGCCAGAGACCTTAGACCTTAGGATTAGCTGTCCTTGCCGTTACACGGCGGTTTTAACCTTAGTCTGATTTTGAGACGTTGTGATATAGGGGAAAAGCAATCGAGTTTTCTTCTAAAATCACTCAATAATTTGTACCATGACCTTAACTTTTAGAGTTTTATTCTCTTTTTATTTCATTTTTGGAAGTGTTGGATTAGTAGTGAAACTGAAATGTTTGTGCAGAACGAGCGCTTGCAAGGTGTGTGAGATGTTAGCTTATGCTGTTGTAGGTGATGTTGCAAGCAAGTACAAGCATGATGAAGAACAGCTTAATGCATACGAGGTGTTGCATGGTCCAATTATATTACTCATGTTCTAATTACAATGAACACAGGAACAAAGTTAAGATGCACATTACAAACCATCACATGTACTGAATATCTGTTGCTAAACTTCACAGCAACGATGTCCACACACCTCAGCTCAACTCGCTTCCTATCAGATCCGTCGTGATGGTGTCAGACTCGGTTCTTTCACGAATCCAGGATGTATAGGAAGCTTGCCAGCCCTTGTTGTACTCTGTCCTGAGAACGAGGTATCCATTTGTGTTGCTAAATCTTGTCATTCATGCGTCGAGGTGAAGCCAAGAATTGATTGATGGATTGCCATTATACAAGTTTACCTCATAAAAGCCGTTCACCATGGGAGTCCTCACCATGAACACTGACATTCGCATCGCATTTTCGAATTCAAAACGCTTCCACTGCCCTCACGGTCCATGAAGCCTCCAACCCTATCCCTCAACTTTGAAGGTCTTGTCATTCCCTAGCTGCTGAGGCATCAATCCTCTTGTCTCACAATGAGAAGCACGCAACATACATGAGCCACGGGTTGATGCGCACTCGGAGCATCAGGTCGAAGGTGGTTTGACTCGAACGTCCCTCGCGCGGGGGGAAGGGAGAACTTTGAACTCGCAACGGTTGGTAAGCCAAAGGTTATGGTTGTCCAGGGGATTAGCTACTAATTGCTAATCCCCTGGGCGACCTTAGCAGGGGATTAGCCCTCCCTTTGACTAAAACATTTGTACCAGGAGCTAATCCTAAGGTCTAATCCCCTGGCGCCCATAAGCCCCCTAATTGTACCACGGGTCTACCTGTCATGAACAATGGACCACTACCCCCCCATCAGACATAAAATGATGGTCAAAGAGGGGTCCTACCTACGCGAGCCACCCACCAAGATCGATATCTATCTGGCCTACCCTTTCCTCTGTAATTGCACCCCCGCCTCTTGAACCCCTACCTACCCTGCCGAGACGACAGATTTCGACCACCCCTCCAAACACCCTTCATAGTACCTCATTTTCTACTGTGAGGTTCTAGTTGACCACCCCATGTCCTGGTATTTCGAGCCCCCACCCTTCACCTTTACAAGGGACCCTCTTGGCTCTTCGGACTTTGTCTTCCTCGCTATGCCACTGCTGTTTCCTCTGCCTCCCTTTCCCCGGCCTCCTCCTCTCCCCTCCCCTCCCCTCCCCTCCCCTCCCCTCCCCTCCCTTTCCACCCATCCCCGCCACATCCCTGCCCCCCTCCTCTCCTGCCATGGTTGCTCTGCCTCCTCCTCTCCTCGTGCCATCGTTGTTCTGCTTCCGTCTGCTTTCCTCTTTCTTGCCATTGCTCTCCTCCCGCTCGCTCTCACTTGCACAATCTCTGCAATCCTTTCATTGAGGCCATTGCTTAAAATCATAACTCTATTCTGATGTAGTAACATCGTTTATTCGTCATTCTTGCCTTATTTCACTTCCTCCTATTTTTGCTCTCAATCATTTTTGTCCCTGCCATACATCCAACCCACTCCTCGCGTCTGCTGATTCTAAGTGATCTGCTTACCTTTGTGCACGATCTATTTCCTGCGCCTCGCTTTCCAAACTTGATCAGCAAATATTGTTTTCCCTTTGTCCGTAACTGGATATGTTGATTGACCTCTGCTTAATCTCCCTCACCCGCTCACTCCCTCGTTGACTCCTTCATGCTGTTGACCTAATTTTGTCGTAGGTTGAGCAGAGATGTTTCTTCCCTTCTTTTCCGCAGATCTTCATCTTCCAAGTTTGGACTTCGTTGACACCTGTGATGGAAATAACTGCTTCTCCGTTATCGACTCTTACTCGTCCAGCAACACCAACGGTTTCACCGTGTACGACACCACTTCACCGACGTACACCGGTTCCGATGCTGTTCATGAGACTACTTCGTTGAACCAGACCTATGGATGGGGCTGTGAGAGTGGAGACGCTTATGGATCAGGTTGTGTGTGGGAGCGAGTTCGTAGATGAATGACGCTTGTGCTGCAGGAACTTCCTTTGATTCTGGCGTGGGCACCAATCAGTCCGATGCTGACATCTATCCCTACAATGCCGTCGCAGACAAGACCTCCATGCTCAGCTCTTCCTACACAGACTCGGCTGGCAACGTCTACACTGGCAACAACGGGTTCACCGTTACCGACAGCTACACCTGTGGCAGTGGAGATTGCGGAGGCTTCTCCATCAGCGACGTGTACGGGAACACGGCGTCCTCCTCGGCTGTGCAGCAGCTTCACGAGGTGACCAACAACAACACCTCCATGCTCAGCTCTTCCTACACAGACTCGGCTGGCAACGTCTACACTGGCAACAACGGGTTCACCGTTACCGACAGCTACACCTGTGGCAGTGGAGATTGCGGAGGCTTCTCCGTCGGTGACGTGTACGGGAACACGGCGTCCTCCTCGGCTGTGCAGCAGCTTCACGAGGTGACCAACAACAACACCTCCATGCTTTCCTGCTCCGAGTTCACCCACTGCGAGTCCACTGATGCTGCTGGCAACGTCTACGATGGCAGCAACGGGTTCACCGTTACCGACAGCTACTCCTGTGGCAGTGGAGATTGCGGAGGCTTCTCCGTCAGCGACGTGTACGGGAACACGGCGTCCTCCTCGGCTGTGCAGCAGCTTCACGAGGTCAACGCTCCTCAGACGCAGCTTGCGGCCCCTATTGCAGTGTCAGGAGTTGAGGTGAAAATTTGCTGAAGATTCATGCCACTTGTAGTGACCTGCAACAGGTCCCCAAGCCTCAGGCAAAGCCTGTCCGCCCAAGCCCTGGCCACCTCCTCTTCTGCGGCCATGCTCTTGCCTTTGGCGCTGTGTCTGCCACCATGCAGCTCATCAACGGCGAGAAGAAGGACTGGCGTGCTACCTTCGAGTCTGAGTCCTCCAAAGCCGCCAATGCCATCACCCCAGGTGACTTACGAGCTTTGAGGCTCCAAGGACGTGACTGACTCCCTTGGCAGTTGGTGGCTACGTCCTTCAGACTCACGTCTTCGGCAAGGAGGTCTCTGCCTAAGTACTCGGAGCCAGTGAGCTTAGACGATTTAGATCGGCCTGACGTGCAAGGTGTGATGAGAACATCTTGCAGTTGTGGATTGAGTTGTTTGTTGAGTTTGCTTTCATTTTGCAAACTAAAGCGAGTATGCCATAACATGGTCTCTTTTCGCTCGCGCTTTCTTTGTCACCTTCAGCTCTTGTTCGGATCCAAGTCGGATCTCAGAGCTGCCTTGTCAAGCCTGTTCCTGATCGCCTTGCCAAGCCCCTTGGCCTCGGTGCCCTGCGAGCGGGTCAGCACTTCGACATGGCATGTGAGAGGGAACATGAGCGAGGATGTCGGTCACGTCTGGCATCTCATCAAACGATCGCAGGACAGCAAACAGGTCGCGAGCGATGGACGACTGATCGCTCACGCTGTCCCCGCATGCCGCAAGCACGCATTGCCTCAGCTTCTCCCCGCCGCTTCGCCTCAGCTCCTCGAGGATGTCCTGGGGTGCCATGACGCCGAGCCAGGCCCTCCCATGCGAGTCCGCCTCGTCGGCTTCCTCGAGCTTCGCCAACACCGACTGCACGAAGAGAGCAGCGCTGCCCTCGACGACGGTCACGCCGGCACGAGGAGCGTAATGGCGGTACTTCATGCCCGGAGCTTTCGGCCGCTCCTTGACTGCCTCCTCCGTGGTGACCTCAGCAGAGTGCTGGTAGTCCATCACGGGGAGCCCCAGCACTGCCTGGATCTCCTCCCTCGAGATCTGACCAGCTCGTGAGCAATTTGCGTGACATGCTTGTTGCTCACCTTGCCGGGACGTAGGATGACCGGAGGGTCAACAGTGCAGTCGATCACTGTCGACTCTAGACCAACACTGCAGGTCTTTCCCCCGTCTACAACACCTGACTCGCATCATTGTCAATGAACATCTCCAGGCCCAGTAGCATCATCTTCATCATCATCGCTATGAACAACATCTCTATCATTGTCATCATCGTTGTCGCCACCATCACCATCACCATTTTCATCACGCGCATCTCAACTGCTCGTGCACCTTCAATGCGATCTCCCAAGTCGCACAAGACATGCTCAGCTTGAGTTGGACTCGGTCGACCGCTCGCGTTGGCGCTACGAGAGCATGAGAAGAGCACGAAGACGAACATCGCAAGCACTCAGACCTCGGGGCCGCAACTCCCACGTACTTGCCGAGGGCTCGCAAGAGCTTCAGAGCGATCGGATGATCGGGGACCCTCACAGCCACCTAGAGGCTCCGGTGAGGTCACGCAGCTCCACAGCTCCACAGGAGGACGAGAGGGATGGGACAAGAGCTCTCACCGTGTCGAGTCCAGCCCTCGCTCGCTCGCTCACCGTCTCCTTGTTTGCTCTGATGCAGATCGAGAGCGGCCCGGGCCAGAAGGCTTCCGCCAGCCTACGCGCAGTTGACGGCACCTGACCTCCTGCACTGTCATGTCAGGAATGAGAACCGAGAACAGAAACGCCGGAAGTTCAGGAAGAGGAAGAGGACGGAGAAGCGACAGGAATGAGAACCGAGAACAGAAACGCCGGAAGTTCAGGAAGAGGAAGAGGACGGAGAAGAACAGAATAGAGGTGAGAGGAGAGGAGAGGAGAGGAGAGGAGAAGCAACCTTCTGCACAAGCCTCCAGTCCTGCTTGCCCATCCGCAAAGTGAACGATCAAGGGATTATCTGCTGGCCTTCCCTTGGCTGCAAAAATCCTCATGACAGCAGCGTCATCAGAAGCCAGGGCTCCAAGACCGTATACAGTCTCAGTGGGAAACGCAACTGCCTTCCCCATCCTGCGCTTGTTGTGAGCTCAACGACATGGCAAGAGCATCTCCACCTGAGGGCCTCTGCTGCTGCTGCTATGTCTTCGTCGCTGTCGCCGTGCCATAGCTTACACCTGCTTCCCCCCCTTGCTTCTCTGCCTCTGTCTCGCCAGCCATCATGCAAAGAGATCCTCGCCTGAGCTGCTGCCTTAACCACCTAGACCTGAGCTCTCGTACGCAAAATGTTCCCGGAAGAAGCGCATGGAAAGCACTGGGGCTGCTTGCCGGCTTCACTCCGCGCACCCCCAGCAAGAGAAGAAACAACAACCCGATCGTCCTCACGTTTTGCCTTTCCACCCTCCCTGCCCTCCTTCCTCCCAGCAAGAAGCTCCGGTACAGAGACTAGCTGGAGAGGGTCCTATGGTCCCTAGTATCTCGTGACCTATTGTGGTCTCTCTTCTTTTCCTCCTCTCCTCTCCTCTCCTCTCCTCTCCTCTCCTCTCCTCTCCTCTCCTCTCCTCGCGCTAATCTCCCTTCTCCTCAACTTTCTCTTCAAGTTTTGTCCAAGACTTTTCTACTCAACGCACGTGCGGCCCGGACAGCCGGCGGCCTGGCCCGGGGGCCGGCGGAGCCCGGGCGGCCGTTCCGATCGCCGTCGGACGGTACGGTCCGACCCGGGCAAGTATCAGCACAGTTATTAGTAGCCCCTTTGAGGCTTTTATACTGATTTTGTTTTTGAAAAATTGACATACAAATACACTTGCAAGGTCTGCCATGTAACCTAATGCTATTGAAGGTTGGAATCCACAAAAAGTGGCTTGTCCCAAGCAACAAACCAGCGCCCTACTGAATAATAGAGAATTCCATGCCGTGCAAGGTAAGCCTGTGAAACAGTTGAGAACAAGTCCAACTTGACTGGCAAGTGCTCACCACTGCAAGCACCATCGCCGAATCAAATCGGGAGTTTGAAATCTCTTCAGCTAAGCTTGAAATAGTCGACAACCAATCGATCCCGTCAAGACTGCAATGTGGTCATTCCAAACATTGAAAGCAGCAAAACTCACCACAAGTATGTTGCAAGCAGGAATACAAGATTTTCCAACGAGACTTGAGGCTCTGGGACAGCAATACGCCAAGCAGTGAGCCATCTGTAGCTCCGTCATAATTCATCCTTGAGCAACATTAGAGGTAAAAGACCTAGTTTGTCCTCTTTGAAACCCATGTTGTGTTCTCAACCTTCGATCTGCAATTCATCAAAGGAGACTCAGCCAACAACATTCTTGATGAAATATCAAAGATTCAAAAAATCTTCACCGAGGTCTGGACCGTGCAGACCTCCATAAAGCAAAGCAGTCTGCTTTACTCCATCCTCCTGCATACAATCAGAGAAGAGGTGACCTGGCTTGTCAATCAACCTTTAATCGCAAGATCTCGTGAATTGCTTCCTTGTTCCTTTCGGAGATTATCACAGTCTGAGGTCCATCACACGCCATCGTCCCCGAAACCAGGAGCTGAACAAAAAGCAAACATTACCTCATCTAGTCTGTGAAATTCAGACAAGAATGTACCTGTCCAAAAGCAAGTTTTCCAAGCGACCTGAAATTAAAGGACCTAACGCTGTCTAGCATCGCCATCAAAACTTCACTCAAGGATCCTTTCTCAGACATGGCCCAGTCTAGCATCAGCATTGCTCCCTCTGGACATGGCACCAGCCATATCGGTGCTCTCAACCATTTTCTGATCAGGTCGCGTAGTGATTCAGGCAGCCTACGAAAATTTCCCGTACCCCATCCGGCCATTGCAGCCTGAAAGGCGTTCGGCGGAAGACCTTCACCTCTCTGGGCTTGAAGAGTCTTAATCGTTTTCCGATCAAGATCAGCAAGGAACCAATTTTCTCGACAGTAATCAATTGCTTCCAGCTGGGCTTGGAAACCGTTCCTAGCTGCCATCACTCGCTCGTCGTTTGCTGGAACTAACGTTTCCTTGAGTCGTTTCCAGCCAGCTTCGTCGCGTTCAACCACGTCTTCATCGACAATAAGCTCATACAAAACTTTTTCATACTGCGAAGTTGCATTCAGCAATTGCCTATAATACAGAGGATCTGCCAAGTGCACCATCGAGAACAAATCAACTTGATATTCTTCATCCGAAGACTTGGGTTTAAAATACGAGACGACAGCAGTCTGTAGCTCGAACCATCTCGTATCCGTTCGAATCAGCCTCAGAAATGAAGGACTGCCATTGTCGGACGATGACACAGATGGCTGGGGGTAATTGTACAGACTTTTGAACTCCTGCTCCATCTGATTTTCATTTTGATTCATGACCATACTTTGCAGACGCGTTCTAGTTCTTGCGTGTATTCTGCAGCATCTTGATGTGAAGGCTGGAGCCATGGAAGGATTAAAGGTAGGGCTGAAAGCTTGCACTTGTGTCTGAGACGCCACCACCAGAAATAATTGAAAACTTGCGAGCTTGGTCAGGTATGTCATCTGCCAATCACGCATTCATGTAAGCACTCAAACATTCTAAAGTCTATCAAAACTGTAGTATCATATATCATATTCTGATCTGATATCCTACTAAAAAAGCCAGTGCAAACATCTATGTGTATGAGCAGTCCACTCTACGCGACTGTATAATGTCATCCCTTGAAAAATAAGAGGGGAACATAATTCGTATCTATGAAGAAAAAGGGAACAAGCATGAATAAACTATATCATCAGGCATTCGATGATGATACAGACATGTCTTTGACATCAGAATCACGCATCTTCTCATGCTCTGACTCCCTCGGGTCCTCCATGAATCCTCCCCACAGTCTCCCGCCCATTCCGCCATGCTGTGCTGCAACCCCTCGTTGCGACCCTACAACATTTTACAATTTTTAGTATATGTACATGTATATAAAATTCGAATTCTGGTACAAATGTTATTGCACTTGCTACAAAGATAAAACTTTAGTAAATTATATAATAGATTTGTAACTTGCTTGAAGGCGCGGCGGGGCCCACTCCGAGGCTCGCCGGAACTTCCCGCGGTGGACTCGGATTGAACGAACCCCGGGCCAAGCATCCCAAGTCCCGGACAGCCTGGGCCCGGCGGACTCGGAGCCCGAGTCGGCTTCGCCGTCGGAGTCCGACCGGGCGCCGTATCGGACGGACGTCAGAAAGTCACACAAACACTGAACAAGAAAATGTAACGCCGCCGCGCTGTGTCTGATGAACCGGGTCACCGGGTGCCGCACTGCCCGCGCCGGGCAGTCCGGTGACCAAGCCTCGGGGTCATCGGAGTCCGATCGTCGACGCCCGGCCGGGTCCGCCGGACCCCGGCGCGCCGCCGCCGCTCAGTGGTGCCACCGTACGGTGACTGCAGTGCCACGGTGGGGCCGCCTCGGGACCGCCGCCCGGCGTTCAACACACCGTTTCACAGTGACACTCACGGTGACTGTTAAACGGTTCAACGCTTCAACTTAGCCTCAGGGCCGAGTCATGGCACGGCACTGCGGCAGCCGCCGCGGAGTCTGGGCCGCGGCCCGTGACTTGGGAGTCGGCCGCGGGCGGATCACTCAGTGACTCGAGTCATGGCCGCCGTGGCCGTGGCCCGCTGACCTGGCAGTCACGCCCGGGACGGTGCCACGGCCCTGAGAAGTACGGCCGGTAGCCTCCGGATGCCGGGCATGCCGTAGAGTCGGGCGGGAAGGCCAACGCACAGCGGCAGCCTCCCGGCAGCTCCCGGCCGACTACCGTACAGTACCATGGGGCCCGCCCGGCGTTCAACCCGCGCAGTTCGATCGGACTGTTTTCCTGAAACTGCTGACCAATTCCCTTCCAAAAAAGATTCCTTGGCATGGTCTTTGTTTTAACTCCCCGCGAAAAGTAGTACTTTCGACTTATGACCGTCATTGAAATAAAGGCCACAGACAGAGTCGACCATTGAACGCACACGGAGAAACTCAGCTCCAGACGTTTGCCAACAAAACCCGGCGTCAAGTCTACTTGATTGTTCGCACGATCCTTCTCAGTCACTGAGTGATCTCACGATGTCAGAATTCCTCAGGGAGGGGCAGACTGCTTGTGAGAGTTGGAATTTCTCGTTGCTGGACAACATTGTTGAGAAAGAGGCGTACGCGGATGTCCCGATTGAAGATTTGGATTCCAAAGACGGATTCAATTGTGAAGACATCTTTGAAGACAGCAGGCATTCGGAATCTGGAAGTATACAATCCAATGCCGATCATGATACTGAGGTTTCAACTCTTGGAGTTGAGCATGGCGAATCCGAAGATGTTGTCATGGTTAGAACTAGAAAAGGAGGTCACTCTGAGACTATCATAAGGATAGACAAAACCATGCTTGAGCAACATTTTCATGAGAAAATGGAAATTGCTGCAAAAAGTCTTGTGAGTTCCCTGAATATCATTTTCCCCTTGAAGTGCACTGATGAATCTGGGCAGGGTGTGGGCAAGTCGACGATGAAGCTTGTTTGCAGGAAACTTGGTGTATTGAAATGGCCGTATACAAGCAAAGGAGTTAGGAGAAATCGGATGAAAACAAAGTAGACTCCCCGAGGTTGAAATTGTTTCAGTGATGGATAGGTGAAACTTGTTCTGTAATATCGTTGCTTCTTGTGATAAGATGCGGACTTTGTACAATGATTTGAAATAGTCTCTCTCCGCTTTGCAATACAAGCCAATTTGTCACCATTGATAGTATAGAGATGGTCATCCACATTGTTATTATGGATCCGAAAGGCTTTCACTGTCAGTTACCATGGCAGCCTCTCTGACTCACCCCGACCGTACCGACCGTACTCGCTCAATCCTGGCATGCCATGATACGATTCCGGCGGGCCCGGGCCCGTGACAGTGACCCAGTGTCACCCGGTTATCGGAACCACAGGCTCCGTGTCTCCTGGTAGGGTCTCCGGAGCCTGCGGCAGTCACCGCGGCCGACTCTCGGCGAGGCCCCCGTCTGACGGGACTCAGTGAGCCGCTCGGAGCGGCCCGGCCGGACTCTCCGCCGGGAGTCACCCGGTGACCGTGACCGTGGCACGCCGGTTCAACGGTTCAACTGCTGTGCAGTGAGTGGCAAGTCACGCCGGACTCAGTCATCGGAGTTCGCCGGCACACGGGTGACTGGACGCCGGGGCGGGCTAAGTTGAATGAAAATTGAGAAAACCAGTAGGATTTGAATTTGAAATTGCCGCCATGCAAGTTCGGTCTGCGTCCATCATGGCCACAAGGAGGGCGACAGCTTGATCGGACCTACCGTCAGTCGCAGAGCCTTCTCTCAGTGAATCTATCCACCCATCAACTCCTCTATCTTGATTTGACTTGAACCATCTCGACAAGAAAAGGAAATAGCGTTAGACTCTTTGGACGTCGAACCGACAAGAGGATTGAGGAGACCAAGAACAGTATTATCAGAGAGAACAAGTGAGCCTAGGAGCCTAAACCAAGATTCCTTGAAACGTTATTTCATATCGACGAGATTCAACTCTGGTGTTAGAGCTGGTCGTGAAAGAAATCAAGTTTGTTGTGGACGCGGAATTTGGTTGAATTCGCATTTGTTTGAGAATCGCAAAGTTTAGACAGTGATTGAGCATATCCTTGCCTTTGAAAGGATGAGCGAACAATGGCTCTGTGAACTGAGTGCCACAGTCTGTATGGGAGCACACCAGCGCTTGGGAGCAATGTCGAAGCTCCGAATGATCGACAATGAATTGTTACGAATGATCATCGACTACGTTGTGGAGGTATGCATACTTTCTTTGCCACGAACAGCTCTAAGTATTGATCAGAGCACGGGCGTCCAGAGATGGAAGTATCTTCACGGACAGGACAAGCTTGCGCTGACTGACTTCACCACTTTCCGACATGTTGTGCACGGAACCTTAGTGCAGATCTCTCACGGTGATTCAGCATGCATTCGATATCAGATACCGGCCCAACCCGTCAAGCTCGCAGACAATGGCGAGTACTACGAGGATGACTTCCGTGCAAAAGGTTCAATTTGCCAGCTGGACCAGGGCAAAGGAGATCGAGTGCCTGCCGATGGGATCATGGCTGGCAAGTGGCAGGTGTCGTATCATGGCCCCAACATCTGCATCTCGAACGTCAAACATTCGGGTCAGGTACTATTGTAGCTCAGCCCTATTGCTCCATCATTGCTGATCTGACATTGCAGACTTTGATGCTGCATGGAGACGGCTTTCTCTATGTGCCCGAAACATCGCCTGTGATCTCAATGCTCGGACTACCAGAGCCTCTAGCTCTGAAGGTTGTTGAGAACTCCTTTCAATTTACAGCTCGTGAACGGGTCGATTTTTTCCCGTGATATTTTGTGTTAAGGAAATCTTTGTAGCATACGTCTTCATCAAATAATAAAAAGAATAGCACTTCATCAAAATCAAGGGGATGCCTCGTTCAAAGCAGTCTGGTTCGGGGAGAATACAAGTCATCTGCTCATGTGTCGCAATCGACGAGATCAGTCACAGTCATTTCTGCGAGCGAGCTTCTTCATGCTCTGGTGGCAAACACATCATGAAAATTTACAACTTGACAGAGAATTCACAGACCTGCTGTTTCTTTTCTTCCAGACGACGATCATTAAACTTTCCCTGAACAATGTAGACCATTTATATAAAATCGCATCGGAAATCGTCACAATGCAACCTTGGTTTTGCTATTCATGTTTCTTTCCTTCTGCATTGAGATCATCAGTTCACGCAAGTAGAAATCAACACAGAAAAGACCGGCAATGTGGCGGCATCAGTGAGAATATCATTCAGCTTCTCCATGCATTGGTTGTAGTTTCTCTGTATCAGCAACTGCTTACCATACAATTTTGATGCGAAAACATGCCCGCTACCTGTCTCACTTTATGTTCTTCAGACGTTACTACTAGCTCATCATTCTTGTTGATCTTGGAAGAATAAATATCTTTCAAGCGAATCATGGCCTGCCGCGCCTTCAACATCCCTCCGACAAACAATCTGAATCAGTACCTCTTTAGGGAGGTTGATATCCTGCAGCCTGACTCTCATATCTACTTTAGATTCTGTCTTGTTGACATGCTGCCATCGTGTCAGCTGTATCCAACAACCACATTCAAGCCCTGTAGGAATTACCTGACCCCCTGGCCCTGACGACCGCGCAAACTTTATTATGAGCTTGCTTTCGTCCACGTATGGAATATGTATCAACCTGAATCCTGCTTCAACGATAGCTCAGCAAGATAACAGAAAAACCTTTTGCGTAAGATAGAGAGTATGTGAGTCGGACGAGTACACAACCAGGAGGTGTTCGACTTTCCCCACCTTGCCAATGTCAGTTGTTTTAACGAGTAGATCCGAGGGGACGTTACCCAGCTCTGATCATTACAATCGAAGAAGCTCTCGGTACCCTCTCCCCCCAATGATCTTCCAGCCTTGCTGATTCAGTCGAGTTGAGGATGGTATGGAACTCTGTTGAGTTGCTCTTCCTATCTCGTCGCCTACTCCCTTGCAGTCTCTTCTATCGCTCTTGTATATCTCATGCCTTCGTTTGTCTCCACAAAGTCACGAGCAGTCAGAAACCTGCTGCCTCGTGAACATGTCCGAAGCGGGCACGGTCACGTGAATCAGTGATTGGACCGTATCGCCGGACTCGGCGGGATTGCCGGGCCCGCGGCCGCCCGGCCGGGGGCCCGCCGCAGCCAGGCTGCGGGCACTGCGCCGGGGCACTGGGTCCCGCAACCCGTTGAACAGCAGTGCCGCTGTGCCGCATGCCGGTACTGGCAAACCTTCAGAAGACTCAGTCCAGGCTGAGCGCAGTGCGCCGGGCCGCCGGGCAGTGCGCCGGGCAGTGCGCCGGGGCAGTATGAGGGTGATGATGTTCGCTGATCTGAAATGGCGGGTGGGAAGGGATCAGAGCACGGTTAAACGTAAAGAAAGGAGCGAGGGCGAGGGAGAGAGGAGTGCTAGGAACTGGATGAGAAGCTAGTTGACGCCCCTACATGCGTGACAGCAAGTGACAGAAGCCCTTATCCCCTCTGACTCCTCCATGTTCAGTTGAGGCGTTAGGATGCGTTGAATTCCTTTTGAACACTGTCAGCGAATGATTGAGCTGATTGATCGAGCATGTCGAGATTCCATGACATCTGATTGACCACACTGTTTCTGTTGCTTTACTTCCATGCCACTTCCTGTCTTTCCCATTATCTCCATGGAAGCTTGGGTGCCCCAGTCAGTTTGTTGGGAAACGTACCTGAGTACATTTCATGCTTCTGAATGACATATCAGGTTTTGCCATTATGGGCGCGGGCTCCTCTACCAAGAAGAAGCCATTTTCTAACCTAGATCAGGCAAGGCCGGCGAAGGTTCGCCATGTTTACACCGCACCTGGACGCACTAACACTTTCTTTGTAGCCAACGGCAGGAGATAATCTTTCAGGTCCAACATTCATTTCAGAGTTGAACGCCTTGATTTATACTGACTGCTGTGTCTTGAAGCCATCAAAGATGGTGCGAGCATCGAGAGAGACAAGAAGGGGAAGCAAGGTAGCAAGTCTGAGCAGGAGGTTCAGGTGTCTTATCGTATGCTAGCTGATGCAGTAAGCGAGTCGGACGAAGAACAGGCGTCAGATGAAGAAGTTTTGAGCACTCAGGATGAGGTATGGGAGGAGACAACTTGCTGTATGCACGTGAACTTTCGATCAGACGGAAGATGAGTCGACAGAAGGCAGCGGCGAGGGGGAGTCAGAGGATGAAGATGAAGAATCCGCACAGACGAGAACTGAGGAATCGAATGACGAGTCGAGGCAGGAGGAGGTGGATGCTCTGTCTGTGGGGGTTCGAATGACTTGAATGGCAGGGCAACACAAAGCATGTGCAGTTCTCAGATGAAGAATATTTGAACTCCAACAAGTTTGTCACGGACCTCTTCTTTGCCGCTCAAGAAGGAAACGTTGACGAATTCAAGTAAACGCTGCTTGTCTATCAGGTTGTATGCAGAACATGATTCGTGATCTTTCAGGAGTATCCTCCGACCGAATGTTGATGTTGATGCATATCAAGACGACGAGGCTCGATACATGCGATACTCATTCAGCTATCTCACGGAATTTTTAACCCACAGGGCAATGGACTACTGCATACTTCTGTTAAGCACGGAAATACAAGTGTCACAGCTTGGTTGATACAAAGCGGCTCGAATCTTCTCAAGTGAAAGCTGTTCTGATATCCAACACATGGTTACTGGGTTATCGCAGAAAGAATATGCAAGCGCAGATTCCCCTTCACTTGGCTGTGAACCTTCCCAACTTGGAAGTGGATGAAAATTCTTATAATGGTGTAGATTCTCATTTCCGACGTCAATGCTGTACGCCTCTTGCTACAGGTGCTTCTGATTCATCTCCTCGCTTCTTTCCCCGATGATTGGTTTTCGTTCAGCAAAGGGCAATCGAGCAACTCAGTGCGGTGGATTCTGTGAGTTGAGATGCTGAGATTTGGCAACTTGGATGATATCAGGATACATTCTTTCACACGAGCTTTCTGTTGTTGCAGAATGGATTGGACGCAATGCTGTTGGCAATGAAGAAAGCCAAGCTGAACATGGTGAAGGTAGCTGACTGTAAGGGAATGGACGGGAGGATAACTCAGTGTTGTTGCTTTCCTATAGCTGCTACACGAAGAGTACGAAGTTCAGCTTAAGCGAGAGGCTGGAAGAAAAACTTCGATGCACATGGTGAGTATCAAGAGAAAACCTTGCGAAGATTCTTGTTCCAATATCAGCCAGGTGGCCGAATCTGGAGATTTACCAACGGCAGAATATCTCTTGGATGGGATATCAAATGACGCGGACAAGATCAAATTTCTGAACAGAAAAGACAAGGAGGTGGTTTGATGTTATGCTGAAAGCCCTCGATCACCCTTGCGACAGGGGAACACAGCACTGCATATCCTGGCGAAGAGCATGACTATCGGGTTTGCTTGCTGAGAGCTTGGATATGAATCTTGATGTAGTTGCACGCAGAGCACCAGATGTCACGGCACGGCTGCTGCAGGAAAGATTGTGGAGGAGGAGGAGGAGGAGGAGGAGCCATTGCTAGAAGATGACAAGTGATGAGCAGGAGGGCGTCACAGCAGACATCACAAACCGTGAAGGTGAAACTCAAAAACTTGCTCAACTTCACCGGCTGCAGCCGAATGCTCCTCTCTCCTCAATTCATCTCTCTCCTCCTCTCCTCCCTCCCTCCTCCTCTCTCTTGACCCTCCTCATTCTCCTCGCCGCCAGGTTTCACTCCTCTCGAGGTTGCTCAGATCCACAAGGTCGACGATCTTCTTTTCCTTCTTCCTCCTCACACCCACCCAGCGTCCTGCAATCGTCGCGCTGTTGCAGGCTAGAAAGCCTCTTGACTCCTCGCGTCTGGATGCCGTTATGGTCTGCAGTCAAATCTTGACCTGAACGTGGCTCGGTCCTGACGGAGGCTGAAGGTGTTCGGCGAGGACGAGAGCCTCGTTTCGAAGCCGAACGATGCCCTGCTGAGAGGTCTGAACACTGATTCTTAGGAAGATCCTTACTTGCTGCCAAGAAATCCACAAGGAACTCTGTGACGCCATTAAGGTAGCTGAAGGTAAATCGTCAACACTTTCCAGCCTGTTGGTGATCTGCTTTTGAAACTCATTGTGATCCTCTGCAGGAACTTTCAGCATGAAAGAAATTGTTCGAGAATCGAGCGGGCTGGACGTCTATTTCACTGTCAGCGTCACTCGATCTTGACTTCGTCATCTCATTCGTTTTCCTGCAGATATTCCCAGAGTCGAGCAGCTGGAGGACGTCAAAAGAGCTCTGGGGAATGTCAGCGATGCAGGAGAATGAGTTGCGATAGATCTTACCATCATCTCGCAGCCTGACAAGACAGTTCAAAGACTCCTCGAGCGTTCTCAGGTACCTTCTACCTCCTCCTCCTCCTCCTCCTCCTCCTCCTCCTC